TGTTGTCTTTGCTTTCTTTCTTTTCTGTTTCCTCTTCTAATGTAAAATCCTTCGATTGTCCTTTTTTTGTTTGGGTTCTTCAGATTGTTTTGTTTGGTTTCTTGTCGTATGTCTGGTCATGGTAAGCAGGGGTATGTTGATGTTGGGTCCTCTTCTGTTGGGGATAATATTGGTTCCTCTTCTGCTGTCTCTGTTGCCCCTGTTATTGGTCGTAGTCGGCGATCTCGACGAATGCGGTCCGCTAGTGTTCTTCCCGCGTGTCTCGACTGTGGTGACTGTGACTGCATTTTTGAATTTTGTGGCTCCTATTTTTTGTTTGTTGAAAGGTCCCTGAAGCTATTCACTGTTCATCACCCGAGATATAATCATTGTTGCAAATTTGCTGTTGTTATCCTTCCTTATCCTTCTTGATTACTAGCTCAATTTGTTGCCCTTTTTGATAATGTTCGTTTCTTGAGGGACATTAGAGCTTATAACATCATCTTCTCTATGACATCGTTTGGAGCAAATGTATATGAGGATCTAAATGATGGTCTTGGTCCCTACTGTTTAAGGTTTTAGGTCAGATTAGTCATAAAATTGGGTCAATTTTCCCTAATGTTGTCAAGGGGCCTAGGTTTCTTCAACTATATTTGTTAGACACCGAGAATGAGGTCAGTAACAGGTTTATGGACTTCGACAATCCCATAAAAAGGAATTTGGACGAGGTTATAGTTATGTTTCTGGTTGCCTTTTTAAAGGAGAACTATAAATATGTGTGTACATTCAAGACTGCAAAACAGCTTGCTGATGAGATGAATATAGCATCATATGTTGTTCGTTTGGTTAACAATGTCCCGACCGTAGATATGACCTACCTTCGCCTAGATCCTTGGGTTGCATAGTGACTGGATACTAATCGTACAAATTATGATATTGTAGTCCCCTCCAATTCGGGTCGTTTGAAGTGTATTAGTGAGCTTCATCCTAGCTATATGCCCCTGCAATATCCAATTTTATTTCCATATGGTGAGGTTGGTCTCTGCGTTTGAAGTTGGGTAATCAGATTGTTGTTGATACAAGGAATCTTATTGTTAATATGTATTATGCATATCAGATACATGGTCTTCGACACATATGGTCTACTATTTTGAATACATCTTAACTCTTTCAGCAATATTTGGTAGATGCATATACTTGTATTAAGGATGGATGGCTGGAATATATCGCCACTCATCAAGGTAACCTTCATTCTGAATATGTACGCGGTCTATACTATGCGCTTGCAAAGGGTGATAGGGAAGCTCGATCAGTTGGGAAACACATCTTCTTACCCACATCTTTTACAGGTGATCCTCACTACATGTATAGTCACTATTAGGATGTAGTTGCCATATGTAGGGTATATGTATTTCATAACATTCACGTGTAATGTCAAAAGGACAGAAATAATGCGTTATATGGATGCCATGGTCAGAGAGATCCTCACAACAGGGCAAATATCATTGCTAGAGTTTTTAAGATAAAGTTTCAGGCGTTTATCATATTTTTAAAGGAAGACAAGACTTTTGGCGACATTGATGCATGTATGTTATTCTGTCACTATCATTTAGGTCTTTATGTCATTGTTATGATTTTACAATTTCTTTACCTTACAGATTTGTACAAATCTGTTGGTGCTAATTATTTTAAGCAGTTTGTTTTCACATTAGTTATTATTTTCTTTTTTTTATTTTGTTTTTTTTCCCAGTCACTAAACATATATGAAACTGTTATGTACCTGCAGTATTGTTTATGTGTCCCTTGAATATGACCATTTGCTCTTTCTAGAAAAAAAGGTGTCTCTATCATTGCAAGATATTCCAACATCAGATATAATCAACTTATGGTCATACGTATAAAAAAAATAACGTATCTTTTGTCATTTCCGAATGTTATGTGGTTCAATGTTATTTTATAGTCCCTCATTTTTACATGACATTATATTCTGTTTCTTTTATTTATTTGTTGCAGAAAAGTAAATTGTGCGGTAATTTCTTATATAATATGTTCATTTCTTCTTGCAGACATTATAATCCGCGCCTGTTGTGGGAAGCAACACAGGAAAAAATGTTGGATGACTACATGCATAGGTTAAAAATGACGATGCTAGATAAGAACTTCCTTGTCATAGACGATGTGGTGCACTAACAGTTACTTCACTAATTAGAACACAATCTTTGTTCCTCTTTACCCTCCAAGTCACTGGCTGATTTTGATTTGCCAATGCCATAATTTGCCATCCTTTCTATCCTACAAAATCGTCTTCTGCTTGAGGAGATGAGTTACGACAGGAAACTTCTGTCTGACCAACATGCTTAATTTCTTCCATAGTTAAACAACCAATAGATGTCGATCTACCAAACTATTTTCGGCTCCATAAAAACCAAAAAACAAATATTGATGTTCATTTATGGTCATGGAGGTACCAGGAAGACCTTTCTACGAACTACCATTCTTTCTTATTTTAGATCGATTAGAAAAGTTGTTCTAGCGGTTGCCATATCTAGGATTGCATCATTGCTGCTACCCTCTAGAACTACAACATATTCAAGATTTAAGATACCAATCGATATGACTAACAAAAGATCATGGGACATAAAGAAGAGAACATTGTTAGGTGATCTTATGCATCACACATCAGTCATGATATGGGACGAGGCACAAATGAGCGACAGAAGATGTTTTAAATATCTTGACAAGTCTTTGTGAGACGTACTGGATTGTAACGGTTAGGTATTTGGTGGAATTTTAGTTATTGTTGGTGGCAATTTTCGACAAACACTCCCTATACTACCGAAAAGCACGCGTTCTCAGATCGTAGATCTTACTAATCTAAATTTACACCTATGGAGCTTTTTCAAAATTTGGATACTGAGTCAAAATATGAAACCACTTTCCAACAAAGATACTGGCACACATACACTATCAATATCCACCTTTGCCGATTGGCTACTTTGTATTAGGGATGGAGTAGTCAGATACCCTGACAAAGATGATCCACAAGACACATTCTGGATTCAAATCCCAAATTCGTTATTGATATCACCAGGCCCTACTTTGCTAAAAAGATTTCATAAACTTCGTGTATGGAAATGATATGGTCAACAACCCAACCGATACTGACCTTTTAGTTAGAGCAATTGTTTGCCCGAAAAATGAAATGGCTGGCAACATAAATTCCATCATTCTAAAAACGATCGGCACATGTGGTAGGATACAATAGTATAGACCGAATGCAACCAAATGGAAAACATGCATCTGATTTAGAAGGTCTTTATCCTATTTAGTATCTAAATCAACTAACATTTGCGGGAATATCACCTCATACACTTCACCTAAAAGTAAACACGCCCATAATGTTGATAAGGAACATCAATCAAATAGAGGGTTTATGTAACGACACCTGACTAATTGTCTCACAACTACTTCCGACTATAATCGAAGCAAGTATAATAACAGGAACATGTATCGAAAGACATGTTTACATCCCTCGCATAAAAATCATACATAGACCATTAGATTTACCAATCACCTTTTCATGAAAACAATTTCCAGTTAAGCTATGTTACACCATGACCATCAATAAAAGTCAAGGACAATCACTAACAAAAATCGGTGATTATCTATCTCAGCCAGTATTTTCACATGGACAGTTATATGTAGCGTTATCTAGAGCTACCTCTCTAGCTTCTCTAAAGATTCTCATAGAAACGAATGACCTGGACTTATATAACCAAACAAAAAATGTCATCTATAAGGCTCTACTATGCAAAGTCACTCCCGACGAGGTCTACAGTATCACTAACACACACCCTTTTCACATTCATACCGCTACTATTTATGTTGCTATAATTATCACTACTAACAAACATTCTTATTTATTGCATATATATATATATATATATATATATATATATATATATATATATATATATATATATATATATATATATATTCCCACTTATACATTTAAGCATCACGCGTTCAATGTCATTATCATGTTCATTTATACTAAAAAGTTGCCTTCGTGGTTCGACTCTTATCAGAGAAGACCAACCAATCATGAGTAACATATCCAAGTTGAAATTCGATGACATTGGAAGTCCTATAGAGGTTAGAATAAATCGCATATAGAAGCATGAAGTTCGTCGATATGAGACATGGTACTTAGTTGTTGACAGATTCGTAAGTTTGCAAAAACCAACATGCACTTTGTGTACATACAACAATCACAAGTCACTCATAGTCTTTAACATTTCTATTTTTCTCACAGGGAGATGCAATAGAAATTCTCGGGCAGCGGACCAATCATGCTTACATAGAATCAGTACTTAATGTGTTCGATTGCTACACCATATATGAATACAGTTTCCCTGAATTAGATAGACACTAAAAGATTTTGGAAAATGACTTCTAGATTAATATCGGCTTGATTTCAATAATCAAACCACTTCTAGACACAATGACTATACCAACCAATTGGTTTCGGTTTGTTTCTAAATCACATCTTATAGAGCTTAGAGAAAACCCACGTTATTATAGACTCACATTCAATGCCATAGAAAATTGAATAAAAATTAGAACAAAATAAACATAGAATATCAATATAATCTCGCATTACACCATCTTCGATAAACACAGTGATAGAGTCCTTCATTTCAACCGACCTTCACTATCAAAACGACCCATCAACTTCACTTCTGAAATGATGAACGTATTCATTAGACAACTCAAATATCATCAACAATAACACCCCATCTATAAAACTATCAACCCAATTACCGGTTTACAGCTCATCCATTTACAACACCAACCAGAAACTCGCAGAATAAAAAAAATTAGAAAAAGATGAAACCAAAAAAATTGGAAAACATCATTCATGTTCTCATCGGACAATAACAATAGGAGAAGACAACACTCGAAAACCTTGAAAATGATTTCTTCCTGGCATCAACAGACCATGGAAAATACTAGAAAAGATGAGTATTCGCCTCAAGTACACCAACTACCTCCAAATAAAGGATGTCCTCAACAGCAACGCCTACGATGCGACAAAGGCGATCCAGGCTATCTATAGCCTCAAGAGACAGACGGAAACCATCATCGAGGACTTGAAAAAGAACTCAAAAAGGTTCCCAAAGATGATCAGCCATATATAGACTAACGTCAAATGTGAAGACTGATGGTTCTTTTGCTCTTTCACTTATCGTCTTTGTTTTACATGGCGGAATGTATGTATGTTTAAGAAATATTATGCAACGGATAAGTACTTCACATATGTTTCTCTCCTGATCCTTATACCTTAGTATATTAACTGTTCGTATAAGTATCGACATGGAACATCACACCACCTAAACGTTAAATGAAAAAGGAAAATTAACTCAAATTTTAAGGTCATGCATGAAAGCAAACTGACAACTCAAGTCAACAAGCCACCGCCATTTTCCAGTAAAATAGATAGGTCATTATGTACCTACATTATAACTTATCTGCTTTTTAAAGAAAAAAATAGCTACACTACTTAACGAAACTGAATCATACATTTTCTATATAAAGGACCATTTGATTCAAAGCAACAACCAACAAAATATGGAAACTGTCATGGAAGAAATCAGTGACAAGATCAAGACCATGAAGCTCATTATCTCTATAGTCCCAACTACATACACCACAATAGTCAACATGAGACAGGAACTACTAAAACAGTCGCCAACATTTCTCCCATACAACCACTATGTCATCACGGAAGAGCTCATCAAAGACATGAACAAAGAAACAACTCTGATGATGGACTCCTTCGAAGCCATCCAAGACAAATTCAACGCAACTATGGAAGCCTATGCCAAAATCGTCAAAGATCTTCCCTACATATAGCCGACAATAAGCTTATGTCATTATCTAAGAAGATTAACATCATGTCTACTATGTAATCCATTTTGTCTTTTCTATGTATCAACATAAAACTACTATGTTCTTGTCAACTATGTAATCCTTCCTATCTTTTCTATGTATTATCATAAAAACTACTATGTTACAACCTGTATGTTCACTCCAAATTACTCACATATATAAAGAACAGTTGGTCCATGTTAAGATACAAATAAAATACCAAACATACATAAAGTTACATATACAACCACATAAAACAACCACTCACTTCAAATATTACCATAAAAACAACTATTTAGAACCCCCACATTCACTCCAGATTACCCACATGTAGAAACAACAGTTTATTTCGCAGAACAACCAAAACAATCGACCAAAACCTGTTCATAAATCCAAACTCTGTAATACGAGGTCCTTCATCTAGTTACTATTATAATGATGACATTCCATTAAAAGTGTGGATCCAAATTAATGTTAATGTTTTGAACTCCGTAAATGTGTTCCACCAAGTCATTGTGAAGATTGTGAAATGTTTCAGTGCAACGTATCTCTGCTCTCCTGTTTATATACTCTTCGCCGCCAATTTCTATTGGCTTTGTCTCTGGCATGGTTTCTTCCTCGTCAAACGCACATATGCCTCTTCCTTCGTCTTCAATAATCATGTTATGCAATATAATACATGTATACAAGATTTTTGAAGTTTTTCCTCGCCCAAATAAGTTGCTGGTTTTTTCAATATGAACCACCGTTTCTTCAGAGCTCCAAAAGCACGCTCAACATCCTTCCTAGCTCTTTCTTGAGCTCTCTTGAATTTCTTTCGTTTAGAACCATGTGGAGCTGAAAACGATTTAACAAACACAACATACTCAGGATAGATTCCATCGACCAGATAATAACCATACTAATTATATGGCGTTCCACGCACTTGAAAATAATAATCGGGTACGGATCCATTGTATATGTTGTTAAGTACTGGTGAACGGTTAAGAACGTTGATGTCGTTAATCGAACCAAGAGAACGAAAAAAGCATGCCAAATTCGATGCAACTGCTTCAAGTATGACCGTTGGGTGACCATGATCACCTCGGGTAAATTGCCCATGATATGCTGTAGGGCAATTTTCTCATGCCTAATGGAGACAATCTAAGCTTCCTAGCATTCCAAGAAACCCATGCACACTAGCATGCTGAGCTTGCAATTGCAGGATGTCATTACGTGTAGGCTTACGTAAATATTTTGGACCATAAAACTGAATCACGGTTTTGTAGAAAAAATGGAGACTGTCTCGTGCTATCCTAGCAGACATCCTAAAACTTTCGTCTAACGAATCAGACGGAATGTCATATGCTAACTGACGAAGTGCGGCCGTGCATTTTTGTAAGGGAGTGAAACCAAGTGTACCTCTAGCATTGTAGTGTTGTTGTAAAAAACTGCACTCTCTCGTTACATCTTCAACTATACGTTCGAACAAACCTTTGAGCATTCTGAAGCGCCTACGATAATAATACCCTTAGTAAGTGGCATTCTCTGCAAAATAATCTTGCACCAAACATTGGTTGGCTTCTTCACGATTTTTGTAAATATATCTTCGTGTTCTCTCTTGAGAACTTGCAACTACGTTGTTACATACAACGTTATATGTTTGTTCCGTCATTTGAACACGCACAATAGCGGTATAAAAAATTGTCTGAAATTCTTCAGAAGATGAAGATGACATTTTTGAGAGAGTGGTAATTTTAATTTATTTATTTATTTTTTTGAAAGAAGGAGGAGATTGTTTTGTGAAAAAAAATTTAAGTTGATATGTATATATATAGAAAAGAAAAAGCAAAAGAAAAAAAAATACTCAATGGCTCAATCATTCCCATCTTGCCTCAACCAATCAGAACACACGACTTTGGAGGACCGCACTGCGACCAAGACCGCATCAGACCGCGGTCTGGAGGTGGTGTTCCCTTCCTATGTGGCACGAAGTGCGGTCTTGGACCGCACTCACACCGATGAGCCTTGGCGACACTTTACGGCCCATGGGCCCATTTTACGAGGCATTTTTTAACCAGTTATGGGGTGGCCGGTGGGGCGAACCAAAATCTTTAACCTGTCCTCATGACATTCATCGTTCCGACATAAAATCGGGTTATATTGCCTTAACAACAAGATCTGTCACCCATCACCTATGTGTTCTTCGAAGATGCCACTGCTTGTTGGGCCACACTTATTAATTAAAAAGTCGGTGCCTATACATGGCCCTCATAACATGGGTATCAATTTATACATGATATAATTTGTGTGCATGAAATGTGTTGTTTAATTTATACGAGTATAATATCGAATTTGTATTTTAACTATTCGTTTTGGCAATGTACATTAAAATGAAAACTCAAATTACATGATAAACATATCATCAGGCTAAAATTTACTGTGACATGATGTTGAGGAGAGATGTTCTGGTTCCAATTAATCGTCTAAAAATGCTTTCTAATCTGCTCTCAATGCATTCGAGCTGAGATTCTACTCTTTCCAATCTACACTTCACAGTCTGTATCTTCTCCGATGATCCATCTTTACATGGAGCTGCCTGCAACCCAGCATCTATGGCATCCAATTCATTCAAAATCCCAAGTTCTTGTTGATCATCGCATGCTATCATCCCTTTGTGTATCAACTTCGATACCACAAATGACAATCTGTTTGGCTTTGAAACCGGCATCGCTAAGAACAACAACAAAGATTCCAAAACAGCAACTGTCATCTCACTAACTCCCACTACCGCCTTCATTACCGCTGCAAGCTGGTGGTGATCGGAATCCACCACCATAGATCCACCACCGATCGTATTATCCACTTCCTTCAAACTTCCAACCAACCGTTTAACATCTTTCTTCATTTTCCTTCTAAACGAACTGTAATCAACGTTGTTTTCGGTGTTTCTCCTCCGACGAAGAGCACAATGGAGATCCGTAATGTGTTCTTTGATCTGTGTCACCATATCCCTTGTGTTGCCACAAACATCCAAGAATTTAACCGATTCGTCTACAATATCTTCGACCCATTTCTTGTTTTGTTGTCGAGAGATTGAAACTCTTGTGGTGGACGAATTTAGGAGGTCGGCCATGGATTTATAGAGCGCTGTCAGGTGCGACAAACCATTGCAGACGGTCTTTGCAGATGGTGGTGTCGCCGTTGCTGCATCCAGCTTGGCCGCGTTGAGCTGTTGTTCGATTCGAATAGTGGTCGGATGCGATCTGCAAGGCAAGCTAATGGATTTCACTTGGCATCTAGTGCTATGTTTTGAAGAAACAGCCATTGTTTTTACAGGTTTGAAGGAAAACGAAGGTGTTTGAGGTCTATTTTGGTTTACAGAATTTAGAAACGATCTCTATATATATAAACTAGATCCCTACGTATGTTTATGGGTAAGTGGGACCAGAAGCAAATCTATTGGTACAAGTGTGTAATGCATGTGATGCCAGCATGGGTTTTCCTTTTTTGGGTCGGGTGTTAGGCCATAGGGGGTAGTTGGTGCATGCCATTTTTTATTGTACATGTATAATTATGAGCAAACAATCTATGATCAAATGTGTGAGGTGTACACTCTGAAAAAGAGCCATGTAAAGGTATTAGATTTTACATATACGTGGCACGAAAAGATTGTATCTTTTCCTAACTTTCTACATACATCATGCGTCGTGCTCACGTGCTGTATTGAAGACGTAATTGGTCCACGTATGACCCTTTCACCCACGTGTTGCCCCCACAACTATTGATGTTTTTTGTTGTGGCGCGGTGCCAATAAAGTTAGGAGTGGTCCAAATATAGCCACCTCCATTCCCTGACCTATCATTTTTTTTGGGAGTATAATTACTAGTTTACTACACTGAATGTACACATGTATGGTCGTAGTTGAGTTTTTCCTTATTCGTAGTCCTCTTTGAAATTATTAAATATGATGAGTCAATTTATAGTTATTTAAAGATGTGTATTGAATAATGATGCCCATATTTTGATTATATAAAAAAACCCAATTGTATATTTATATTTTATTGGCTATTTACCATTTTATCTGATTGTAAACTATTATGCTTCTTCTGGTTCCTGCTCTTACTAGTTCCTTGGGAGGTGGTTTATTTTTAATTTAATTATATATATAAATAGAAGTAAAAGATCAAATAAAAACCTTTAAATGTTAAAAACCATCTAAGAATCTTTTCATTAAGAGTATTTGTGTCGATTCAATTATTTACATTACTAAATACTATAAACTAAAGATCCATCTCATTTTTATAACCAATTATTCAAACTCAAGCACTTTCATCTCTCTCTCTCTCTCTCTCTCTCTCTCTCTCTCTCTCTCTCTTGCCTCCTACTACCTCCGGCTGCCACTGCCACCGTCGGTACCACTGCCACCAGCAGAATATCGTGGCGGAAGACAACAACTTTCATATCTGGTACCGCCGTTTTCAGATCTAGAAACGACACTTTCGGATATGGAACCACCGCCTTTAGATCTAGAAACACCGTCTTCAGATCTGCAACCAACACTTCCAGATCTATGATTCTTCGATGTTACTAAAATCTTATCAGATATGTTGTTTTTTGGTGCGATTTCTTCAGATCTAGAACCACCGCCTTCAGATCTGGAACCACCACATTTAGATCTAGAACCATCATCTTCAGATCTACAACCAACATTTCCAGATCTACCATTTTCCAACGTCACTCTAATATGATCAGATATGTTGTTTTTTGTGCGATTTCTTCATATTTGATATCGTCACCATCACCGTCGACAACGACTACACGTTGACGGCTACACCACCGTCGTTTATCCCCGCTGCTGCCTTCTACTACTAGAGTAAACAAACTGTATTAGATCTATTCCACCACCACAACCATCGTTTTCTCCTCCAAACACCATCTTCATGTTGCTTCCGATCTGCTCTGATGATGATCTATACGATGACAAGCTCAGATTTGGAATATCTAAAGACTCTAAGGAACATGAGAATCTAAGATCTGTAAATCACCTCACATCTAAAAACAATAAGCACACAAAGTGTTTGATGAAATGTCTCAAAAAGATCTGTAAGTTTTTAAGTTATGAATAAGTGTTTAAAATTTTGTATTAAGTTGTGAATTTATGTCTGAAATGTGTATTATACTATGAATTTTGAATTTTTTGATGCCTTATCCTTTGAATTTTAGTGTTTGAAATATTGAATTAAGCTTTGAATTAGCGTCTGAAATGTTTTATTAAACTGTGAATTCTGATTTTTTTTATCCACATCTAAAATTTATACATGTAAATGAGGTGTGAATGCAGTGTATTAAATTGTGAATTATACTAAGCTGTGAATTTTATTCACATCTTAATATAACCGAATTCACATTTTAATACATAGAAATGCCTCTAGATATAAACGTATAAATATAAGTTTTAAGTTCAGATATGGCTACAAATATATATTTTTTGTGTATTAAACTGTAAATTATTGTATGAAGCTGTCGATTTGGTATATTAAACTGTGAATTAACTATATTAAGTTGTGAATTTTGGGTATTAAATTGTGAATTTATTAAATTAAACAATGAATTTTGTATATTAAATTGTGAATTAAATGTTTTAAGATGTGAAATTGATTGTATTAGGTTGTAAATTGACTGTCCATATCTATATGGATAAATGTAAGTTTTAAGTTAAGAATATAACATTTTTGTGCATTAAACTGAGAATTTATTGTATTAAGTGGTGAATTTTTTGTATTAAACTGTGAACTGACTATATTAAACTATGATTTGTATTAAGCTGCAATTTTTTTTTTAATTTTGCGTTAAAATATGAATAATTAATGTATGAATCTTTGTATTAGTTTTCTTGTAAATATATTGTCACATCCAAAAATTTTACACCAAATTTAAACTTTTCCAATCATAAATAAAACCAAATAGTATTTATTTACAAAATGTTTTCAAATCATTATTCATCAGAGTGTCCCAATAACCAGATCCTAAGGATGAGGAACGGTACGGTCACGCCTTCGCCTTGCTATGATCTCCTGAATTACCTGAAACAATAAACTGAAAACTGTAAGACCAAGGGATTAGGGAGGTACCCCAAAATACCAATACCACGCTGATAATACCATATCAGTAACAAACAATGAACAACATGCATACCGGGCCAGCGGCCTGACTGGACCGCCCCGTAGGGCCTACAATCTATTTGAATCTGTCCCGAGCCTTCGGCATGACTGGACCGCTACGTGGGCCTACAGTTTCCCCGGACCGCTCATAGGGTGTGTTGGCCTTCAGCACAAAGCAAGACCTCCTTAACCCAAGCAACAAGCAAATAACCCATATATGCATAGCTAACATATACTGGCATATACAACATCAAACATATCTATTTCACTAATCATCAATCATAGCAATCTCTCATAACTAGAGCACCGACCTAGCAGGTCACTAACATACCCATCCCTACGGATCATAAGAGCATAACATTCAGTCTATCCTGATTCAGACCTAACAGGTCATAACCACATGCAACATACATAACAATAACAACTAAAGGGCTGGCCTTGGTGCCTTAGACCCTATTGATATAGTGATGATAACTCACCTTGCAGATGTCGACTCGGTAGATGAAGCCCAACCCTCGGATCACTGTCAAAAACTCCACCACCTATTACCATAATATAATGATACCCATATGTTCCTAACCTTTCAAGGTACCCCAAAAGCCAACTAATCAAACCTTGGTCCAAGTCAAAGTCATCAGTCAAGGTCACCAGTCCATGTTGACCCTAACTCGTCGAGTACCCTTGGCTACTAGCCGAGTGTCTTAAAGTACTTGTCCACTCGCCGAGTCACCGGAGTGACTCGTCAAGGTCCTTCGGTTTGCGATCGAAACCCTAAGGCCACTCGTCGGGTTCCTTCTTGAACTTGATGGTTACAAACACGTACTTAAATTGGGGAAACCTCAACCGACTCGCCGAGTTGTTCATACAATTCGTCGAGTTCTATGGAAATCTTCATCAGACTCGCCGAGTTGTTCATCCAACTCATTGGGTCCAGGCCTATCTTCATATGACTTGCCAAGTCGACCTTGCGACTTCCCGAGTTCCTTCAGTCCCTAAGCCATACAAACTCTTTTAAGCGATGTAGTGGCTCCAAATTACAGATCTAAGCTTCTAAGGCATGCATTTCACATAAAGTTGCAAACTTTATATGCATGCATGGCTAAAAAGGCTCTTAATGTCAAATCCAAGTTCATAATAGGGGTTTCATACTCAAGGAGGCTTCATACATGACCAAGCTCATAACTTTATGACTCTAGAACCCAAGGAGGGTCTAGATCTGAAGTTACAACTTCAGATCTAGCTCATATCCCACAATACCATCTCAATCAAACCATAAAAACCCTAAATCTCAACCAAATGAGGTCTAGAAGGAAAATAAAGTAAAGGTCACGACTTGATACCTCCAAATGATGCTAACTGAGGTAGATTTCTGATTCCCACACCTTCCTTGCTCCTAGTCTCTTGCCATCTAAGTTCTTCCTTTCCAAAAACCTCCTTTCTAAAGCTTAAGATACACAAGGAAGAAGAACCACACAAATTAGGGTTTTCTCACCTCTCAAAGGACTATAAAGGGTCCAAAGGAGGCTTATGCTTCCTTAAATATGGTGCAAAACCCCAGGATCTTGGGTTTCTTCTACCAGCTCCTACTCATCGAGCTCTTCATGGACTCGACGAGTAGGCCACTAAATACGCGATCCTACCCCACTGTTACTCGACGAGTAGGGCAACCAACTCGTCGAGTAGATCTTAAAACCAAATAAACTTTCATTTAAATCAATACCTGAGAATCGGGGCGTTAGACTTCACCCCCACTTGAACTAGACTTCGCCCTCGAAGTCTGCTGAAGTAAACAATGTCGGGTAATGCTCGCGCATCTCTGCCTCCGACTCCCATATCCACTCGGATCCCCTCTGATGTTCCCACTCAACCTTCACCAAAGGTATTTCTTTGTTCCGTAAAATCTTCTTCTTGTTCTCCAAGATTGCCACAGGCATCTCCATGTAATTTAAGCGCTCATCGACCTAAATATCATCCAACGATACTACCGCCTCCTGGTCCATAATGCACTTTTGCAATTGCGAAACATGGAACGTGCTATGAATTCGACTGAGCTCCTCCGGTAGCTCTAGACTATAAGCCACTTTGCCAACCCTGGCAATGATCTTGAATGGCCCAATATAACGGGGAGCCAATTTTCCCCTCTTCCTGAAGCGGATCACACCCT